GCAGACCAGCAGTCGAGTATCATGGATTCGCTCGCTGACGACCGGGTGGGTGCTGCTCTGCCGCGACCTTGTAGTAGGATGTTGCTCAATACAGCTCTTGGTCAGATTTAGATTTCCGGCGCACTAAATTTGTGATTTATAGTTTCGATTCTAGATACGTTTTAGGGTTGCAGCGCGGTGCGGCCGCGACGACAGCGATTAGACGATCCTATCTTGTCGTCGTCGGCGAATTGACAATTCAGTTTTGTCGGTGGCGACAAATTGCAGACCCCATCTTTTCTACGCCATTCAATTACAGTGCCAAATTTTTGACATATCGGCGTGAAATTTCTGCTATGTTCGCTTGTCACCGAGGGCAATCCTATCTGAAAGCCATTACAAATAATTGAACCATCGGAGAGGTTAATTTCTTTATGTATCATAACTTTAGGCGCAATATGAAGCACAGCAGTAGACAGCACTCCACTCTTCCCTACTATTCCAGGTGACACTTCACTTGAAGCAACACTCAAGATGCGTCGAGGACCGTCACTCACTCACTTTAAAAGAGGGCAAAGACTTGCTCTTGACAGAAAATGCATATCATTTTGCAAGATAACAGAGATAATTCATCGATCTGTTAGTCCTGTTCAAAGCGTCGTGTGGCACGTTTTTGAGCATGAAACACCTAAAACATGGAATAAAGTCAAAAACAATCAAAGACTCAGAAATGGTGTGATTGGTTTGGGGCTTCAAGGCGAGGATGGTACATGGTCCATACCAGGTGTGCTCAACCTACCAGATGGACGCAGGCGCCTTCAACAACTACTATATTCTGTGCCGAATCCCAAGTCCAAGAAAATGATTTGGGCCCCACAAATGACTGCTACCCATAAAGAAAATAGGGCCAAATGGTGTCGCAGTTATAAAAGCAAAGGAGAAACGTTTCGGTACAGAATCATATTTAGTGACGAGAAGCAGTTTGGCGGAGATGGCCCGGAGAGCATTGAATTTTTCTGGTATCACCTAAGCGCGAAAGGACGGATTTGTCTAAATGGAAAAAGAGGGTTTTGTCATGGTTTGGGGTGCTATAAGCCTTTGTGAGTTGCCCGCGCTAGTTGTTCTAGAGGGCCGTCAAGATTGTGCTAAGTATTGATGTATTTAGGGTCGGTTTATTGCCGTTTATTGTCGAGGTTCGCGGTGAAGGTCATGATTGGAGCTTTCTCCAAGACAATACTTCACTCCTAACTTCCAATTTGACCAACTAGTGGCTTCCCTGTGACCCTGTCAAGACGCTGCTGCGGCCCCTAACATCTTATATATTAATGTTATCGACAATGTTTGTGGGGCAATGGTTACGACTGTCTGTGCCCGAAGGAAGCACCGCGGTAACGTCGAGGATTTGATTATTGGTACTGAGGCGGCATGGGCACCAGTAGCTTCGGATCTTTTTGTGAGACTTTGCAAAAGCCTTTCACGCCGTATGCATGCAGTGATGAATAGTCGCAGCGGTGCGCCGAAGTATTAAAGGTTCTTTAGTCGTTTACGTCCTGTTGAACTTCGCGTATTTACACCAATTGCGCAGTATTTGTTAAAGATAGCTTGATACTGGTTGTTTTTAGCCTTAATTTGACTGTAAAGGCGTTTTTAGTTGCGCGTGTATGGGTCGGAGATGTGACGGCGGGGAACGTGTAAGTCCGAAAGCGCGTGGCCACTTCTGCTGATGATTGTATTAATTTAAATTTAATGCACTGTTCAATTCCGTCTTTCACGAAGAGGCGCCAAATTGAAGAACGGTGAGCAAGGTTTGAATGAATCGTGGATATAGGCAAGGCAGACTTCCACAACTACTAAACTCCGTGTCTGTCTGTCTGTCTGTTTGCCAGTCTGTGTGTGCCTGCTTCGCCATCGGCGCTGCGGTGAAAAGTGGCGTGACAAGTGGCGGCAGCCACGTGCGGGGCGGCCTGACCGCAGGCCAGGCCGCCACGGGGACACATGGCTCCCACAGGCACCAATGCGGCACTATAGTAGTATACAAATTTAAATTTGACACTACAGTAGAGTAGAAATAATAATACAGCCCGATCCGTCTTCCGTTCCCTAGCGATCCCGGGGCATACCGTCTACGCGAAACCAGTAAGTTATTAACTGTCCTCTTTGCTCCGGCCGGCTTGCTGCCCGCGATATTTGAGGGCACGCGAACGCTTACTGAAATTTGACGGTGTGTGCTTTTTACGCAGTGTCTACGGAACAAGAGAAAGAAGAACTACGCCGCGCGCGCCGCGCCGCGACCCCGATCCGCCTCGATTTCGGCGATTCCCCCCCAGCGACCACCCGTGTGACAGTCCTACAACCAGCTCCTCCGCGCGCGCCCACCCCACGTGCACACGTCCCCAGAATTGCGCCCGGGTCCGCCCCACCGGTACCTGTACCGCGCGCGCCCCTTCCACGTGTGCCACGTCTCCCACGCGCACCTGCGCCAGCCCTCGCACCACGTGTACCCGCACCACGTGTACCGCGCGCCCCGCTCCCACGTCTGCCACGTTTCCCGACGCGCACTATTCCTACGTTCCGTGCGCTACGTGTGCCACGCGCGATCGAGCGGCCGCGCGGGCGCGCCTTGCCAGCTGTCACTGCTGTGTTGCAGAGTGTACCCGTGTACACGTGTGACATCTGCGACTTCCATTGCACGCGCGCGGTACTGTGGGACGGGCATGCGCATACCGACGGGCACGTGGCTCAAGTGAATCAAGCGGGCTGCACATTCCGATGCGAGGTGTGTGCGTGCACGGTTGCAAGTGCACACGACTTTAGGCGACACCTGGCAGGCAAGAAGCACAAAAGGAAGCTCCAATCGATCACGGGATAGTGACAAGACAATAAAGGCCCTATTGTTACTCTTTTGCTAAGTGCTCTTGCGGACGACCTAGCTGGCTGACGTTGCGTTTAGATCTTTAAGGACTGCTTGCTACGACTCATAGCGATCTACAACGGACCCCTCGCACTGGCGTCAACCCTAGCTGCACTTACACGGATAATACTAGCCCACCGAACATAACAGGTAGAGCAGAACAGGTATGGCGGGACCAGCGGATGAAGACGTGCCAGAAGCAAGAAGGCAGCAAATAAACTCGCGTGCAAGGGCAAGAAGATGGCAAGAGTCTGAATCTGACGCTCAAGCACGTCGTGAGGCAGTTCGAGCACGCGCAAGAATCTGGAGGCGGCAACAAATGGAATCTCAGAGGGAAGCGCGTCGTCAAACTGACCGGGAACGTACTGCAGCATGAAGAGCAGCAGAGACTTCTGAGCAGCGCGAACAGCGTCTCCGTCGAAACAGGGAGAGAGACAGGGCGCGCAGAGTCCGTCGAGCACCGACAGAGGGTACCAGAGAGTCTCCAGAGCGCCAAGCAGCAGCGGAAGGAACCAGTGCCTCGAATCAAGCATCTATGCAACGCCCGCTACAGGTTGAGAACACTCCTGATCGCATAACTCGATTGGAGGCCTCTCGTGTCTCAATGCAACAGACAAGAGCGGACGCAACGACTCCCCTTCGAGATGCACGGCGCGAAGCAGATGGCATTGCAACACGACGCGCTAGAGCGGAAGAAAATACCCCCTCCGAGATGCACGGCGCGAAGCCGATCGCATTGCGACACGAGGCGCTAGAGCAGAGTAATGTACTCCTCTTCGTGAGGCGCAGCGAGACCTTGACCGTCTCTCCACCCAACGATCAAGGGATGCACAAGACACACCGACTCGGAATGCGCGGCAAAGATCCGACGGCCAGGCTCGAAGTGCCTCTCGACAGCTCTTCCCCCCACTGCCCGAGTCCTTGCCTTCCTACCGCGATCTCGGCATGATCCGTGTTGAGTGTTCGCACTGCAAAGCTCTGCATTTAGCCCAAGAACGCATCGTGAGCAGCCCTGCCGCAAGGCCCATCTTTTCCACATGCTGTGGGAAGGGGAAGCTGGCATTGCCCCTTCTCCCGGACCCGCCAGCTCTTTTGCGCTCTCTTCTCATCGATGATACTTCAAGGGCCCGCCGCTTCCGTAACAAAATTCGAGCATACAATGCAGCGCTGTCTATGGCATCCGTGGTCGCCAAATGGGTTAACAGAGGGCCCAGTCCTTCCAATTTTAACCCCACAATGACGATGCAGGGCGGGATGTACCATTACATGGGTCCCATGATGCCATCTGAGGGGCAGCCGCCTTCCTTTGCTTCTGTTTACATTCACGACACTGACTACGCCACCCAGACGCGCACAAGGCTGGGAACCTCTAGACGACTGGGAGAGGCACTTATGATGCAACTGACGCATATGCTTCACGAATGCAACCCCTACGTGCAGATGTTTCTGTGTATGCGAGAATGAGCTCAATCTCCTCACAACAGCACTCCAGCCACGTACCGGATGGTCATCCATGCCTACCGCACGCCAAGTCATGAGCACGTGCGCCGGTACAATGGTCCGGAAGCTTCCGAATTGGCCGCATTGATCCCTGGAAATGAAGACGGAGAGATTGGGCGAAGAGATATCGTCGTGCGCAGACGAGGGACTCTGAACAGTAACGGGAACGAAGTTCTGGATCTGATTTCAGTCAGTCATTGCGCATACAATCCATTGAGCTACGTGCTTTTGTTCTCAAACAGTAGAGATGGATAGTATACCATCCAGGGATATATCCAGAGCTTCGATTCTCCAGGTTCAAGACGGCAGACGTACCAAGATTACTCCGATAATGTACTAAGGATGGCATTTGTTCGAAAAAGCAGGTGAGTTCAGCACAATCTTGCAAGCAGCACGACTCTTTCAGCAATACTTGGTTGACCAGTTCTGCAAAGTGGAGGCAGAAAGGCTTTCTTATCTCCGTCACAACCAGACTCAACTTCGAGCCGCCGACTACACCTCACTGCGCGACAGCCTAGGAGACTCCGGTCGTGCTGAAGATGAAGCCGACGCCGTGCGTGCGGGACGACTGTTCATTCTCCCTTCCACGTACATTGGAGGTGACCGCTATATGAGGCAGCAGATGCACGACATCATTGCTATATCGAACCAAATTGGCCACCCGGACATCTTCCTCACCATGACATGCAATCCAAGCTGGCCGGAGATCACAAGAGCCCTACTGCCGAACCAAACGCCTCAGGACAGACCGGATCTGTGCGCACGTGTGTTTCGTCTCAAAATGAAATATCTCGTGTCCTTGGCCATCAACGAGGAAGTATTCGGAACCGTTGTTGCCCATGTACGTGCCGTGGAGTTTCAGAAACGCGGTCTTCCCCACGCTCACGTTGTATTTTTCCTAGATGAAGTCTCCAAGAATGATCTGCGTACTCCCGAAAACGTCGACCGCATTATCTCTGCCGAGATCCCGTCTTCCCAGGATCCAGAACTCCAAGAGGTCGTGCTCCAGCATATGATTCACAATCCATGCCGAGAACACAATCCAACAGCCGTGTGCATGGGCGACTGCAGGAAAGGGTTTCCAAAATCGTTCAAACACGAATCCAGCCAGTCCGACAGTGAGTACTACATCACGTACCGAAGAAAGGCACCCTCTGCAGGTGGCGTCTCCATCGAGCGACCCTCCCGTATTGGCCGACGACAGCAACCCGTCGTGATCGACAACTCCTGGGTCGTTCCCCACAGTCCTGTGCTTCTACAATCATTCGCTTGCCATTTGAATGTGGAACTCTGCGTGTCACGCGTTGGCGGAATCAAGTACCTCTTCAAGTATGTGTGCAAGGGACAAGACCGAGTGACCATGGAAATTACTGCCGAGAACGAGCGCTACGACGAGATCTCCAACTTCCAAGATCCCAGATACGTTTCCGCATCGGAGGCCGCATGGAGATTATTCTCCTTTGACATTGTAGGCCGCAATCCTCAAGTAGTAAGGCTTGCATTGCATCTGCCCAACCACCACACGGTGTACTTTGAGGAAGGGCGAGGGCAGGAGGCGGCGCTTCGACCAGCAACAGCGACGAAGCTGACCGAGTGGTTTAAAGCCAACGAGAAGTACCCAAGCGCGAGGCATATTCAGTACCACAAGTTTCCAAGGTACTTTACGTGGAAGACACGCACCAAGTCATGGAGTCCAAGAGCAACCCTGCGAAGACGGAACACGAGCAGCGAAGAAGAAGCCTACGATTTCAGTGGTACAGGTGCCAGCGTAGTCGGTCGAATCTACACTGTCAGTCCGAGGGAGGGTGAGCGCTACTTTCTTCGCCTCCTCCTCACACAAGTGCCAGGGGCAACATCCTCCTAGAACTTGCCAAATATCGACGGCGAGCAGTGCAACAGCTTTCGACAAGCTTGCTTACGACTCGGATTGCTGGCCGACGATGCCGAGTGGAAGCACGCAATCCGAGATTCATTCCGGTCATGCTTTGTTCCTCTTTCTCAGACCCGTTCCAAAGTCGGGGATGATTCTTTCCCGAACCTCCCTATCATACCACTCTTAACTTCTACCTTATTCATTGGACAGTTCGATGTTAATCTTTGACATTATACTTAATCTCCTGACTGTAAGTAGCGAAGAGTCACAACAAGTGCAGGTGCGCCACTGGTCTTTATTCTGGTTGCACAACACTGCACAAGGAGAAGAAGGGGCAAGTGGAACTCTCTGAATGGCAACGGGAAGCGTCGTGAGCAGAGCAAAAACAAGAAAAACGTACAATACTTTCCGCGTCCGATCCGGATTGCACTCTCACGGAGCAGCTCCACGACAGCATATGAGGCGGGAGTGGCAAGGTCATGGCAGATTGTGCAGGCTACCACCACTGCAACTGCACTGGCCATCGACGCCATTTGCTTGCCTTAACCCCTCTTCTCCTCCTCTCCTAATCCCCTCATTCCCCAATCTCCTTCTTCTTCTCTTTCTCCTCTCTACCCTCCCTCTCCCCTTCAAAGTGATGCATATTGCCCCAGTCTCACGGCCATCCCCACGGCGATCTCCAAGGCGATCTCCCAGGCGAACTGTACTGTCTAATGCATTGCAAGATGAAATAACCACACCACCGTCCAATTTGGAAGAACCGCGATGTGGCTACTCTAGTTACACTGGCAGTGCTTCTCCACTGCACCCGAGGGCTTTATTACAGGCAGATGGAGATACATGTGTCAAAGATATACCTGAAAGTACGAGACTGTTTACGTTCTTTTCCAGAATGACCAAAAAGGCCAACGCCGAAATAGCAAAGAAATGGAAACTGAAAACTTGCAGTAACAAAATGGACATCGTCTACCGCAATTATCTGTTTGTGCAGCAAAGGGGAAAAGATGGGTATACATTTAAGTGGACGTGCCAATCAAACCAAAAAATTGGCAGCTTTCATAAATTTGTTGAGGATTTCGAGAGAAGCGCAGATGATTTTGATTCACGTCCTCCATTGACGGATATTGTACCGGCTCTAAGAAAGTGTGGGGACCGCGGCGTCGGAGATGGTGGGGAAATAGCACAGGCAAAATTTCGGCAAAGTACGGCCACCAATAAAGCTCCACTGTTTTCGCTCTCTGAGTTCGCGAGACTCTGGGTCATTTTGCGTAATGATTCGCATGCTCGAAAAGCGCTTTTAGATTTAAACAATGCGCCTACGTTGGAAGATTTTTGTGCAAACTTCACTCGAGAAGATCTTTGGCGAGAAATAGCGAAGCGCTTCAATGATGTTTCTGTATCGTACGAGGAAGATTTTTCCACTTCCGTGCCAGAGGCATGTTCCGCAGACCCTTTCCTTTGCGCAAGGTCAGCTGAGAGGCTGAAGGATGTGTACCAGAGGACGCGATCGCTGTTTACTCAACGATTTGAGTACAACAATAGGTCTGGTAACAATGACCCGGAGAGCTTCCCGAACTATTTGTGGCCACACGATATGGAGGGAAATGTTGTAGTAGCATATATGGAACGTGTGTGGATTTTTCGTCGTATGTCGTCTAGATACGAACGAGCCCGATCCTTTTTTTCTGGATGTCAGCTTGAAAACTTTTGCTGCGGGAATTGAGAGAGGAGGGAGGTACGGGTCTGCTGAAAAATCTACATGTTCATCTGGAAAGAAAAGAAGAAGTTCTTCGTTTGAGAAAGCGGGTGAGGAGATAAAAGAAATGCGAGTGGAGACCCAAAACCGTTGGGTAGAGGTAAGGGAAATTCTTTCTAACGCGCATAGTACGACGCAGGTGGGAGGGAAACATCCCACGCCTCTCTGGGACGAAATGGTTAACGAAGACTGGTACGAAAGGATCGAAAAGCGAACTCTGTGCCTCAAACGAGTAAAGGATGCTGGGGCTGGTGAACGCATAATTTAGATGTGTCAGCAGGGTTTGGATAAGGCTATCGACAAGTTCGAGAAGCAGAAGCGAGATGCAGGCATTAGGGAGTCATAGTTTACAAGTTGTGAATTCGTGCTCACCAGTACAAGGCCGAGCGCCTATCCGCCTCGACCTGCAGCATTCTAAACCAGTCGGACGGCTCCACGCTCACGGGCAAGCCGCATCTCATCATGGCCTCCCCGACCGCCGCCCGTGAGAAACTCCGCTTCGTCATCCTCGCGCTCCCGTTCTTCGCCGTTCCCGTCGTGTGCGACCTCATCGCCCGGCATCTCGGCCAAGGCGCATTGGTCGTCCTCTTCCCCCCCAGGCCAACGTCCAGTGGCTCGCCGCAGATCTTCTCGGTCTTCGCAAAAACCGCCCCGAGCTCAATCTCTTCGGCCTGAATAAGCTCCCGTACAATTGCAGGATCCTCCATTTTGGCATGCCCCAGCTGGTAAGGAGGGAGTGAGCGAAGGTAGGGATAGACGCGCAGAAATTATGTACTTGCACATATCAAATGCTCAGTTTATCCCACCACCACTCCGCCAAATATGGACGGCTCCTATGCTTGTAGAAGCACTCAAAAGAAATCTAAGGACCAAGAATACCTCGTTTCTCCAGAAATGCAACCATTTTCTCTCTTTTCATCGACAAACCTCGCGTCAAGTCTGCCTCTAGAGAATCTCGCACCATCTCAACCATCTCAAGGTTGTGTTCTTTCGCAGTCCTGTACCAGTCGCTCGTCTCTTCATGTAATATCTCTAAAGAATTAGAGCAATAATTATTAATCCTGTGTGGGCGACCGTTGCGGGCAATGCAGTTATTGTGCAACATCATCGTGACCATAACGATTTCAATACAAACCTCCAACGAATATTCCAACTGACGCAGAATTCTTCACTTACTTACAAGGATTCCGAAGGCTTGTTCAACATGTATACGCAAAGAAGACTGAAAAAATAATACGCATCGCGATACGGGTGACCACGAATCATAGAAGCAGGAAAAGGAGTTAGTAAACTTTCGTCGCAACTGTACGCTTCATCGCCCGCCACCCAGTAGTCTTTGTTCAGTAGACCAGCAGCCGAGTATCTTCCTAACGATGAAACCGAATGCGCCAAGGAATCGTGGGTCGACCCCTTGCACATAGCAGAAACCATCAAAAAACGATACCGCGAATCGACAAGCGCTTGTACAGGAACAGAGTAGTAACCTCTTCTGCAGTAAAACCCTGCAGGGCCATGGCGATATCCAGGTTGTTTGATCCTGATACAAATTCCATCCAAAGCGCCAATGCAGCCTGTCAAGGGACTGATTGTCCTCCTTGAAGACTTGAACTCATCGGCAAGGAGCTGCAGTTATTCATCACTTTGTAGAGAATTGGGGAACCGCAATTTGCGCCAAATGGACTGTCGTGTATCCTTGAATATTTCGTAAACAGTAGTCCTTCCGATGCCGTAATGTCGCATTTCGTCGAGGTGACTCCCTCCCGTAAGCAGGCGCAGCGTTATGCCCAAGCGCGCTGCTGGCCTAATTGTCGTACGCCCGTCTCGTCGCTTCAGCTCAACCCTTAAAGTTTCTAGCAGTTTGTAGAAAGAACACCTTGTCATCCTAAAAGCCCTCTCGAATTCTTTATCGCTGTAAATGGCAGTACTTTCTTCGAACGAAATGTTAGTTCTGTTTCGCATAATATTCACCCGGCGAGAACCGCGTAGTGGCGAAATTTTAGCTGCCACAGAGTTCAGCAATTCTTCTTCCAATACCAAAAGCTGCAATGGCTGCAAAAACAGTTTTTTGTAGTTGTTCCTTACCCTTTGCCGCGTTGTGGGACTGTGGTTTTTTCTCAGAACTTGCCCTCTTTCCATAACGAAAAACGGCGTGGGGAGTGGCAGTGGTGGATGGCGGGTGGGGTAGAGGTGAAAGACGCAGAGAAAAACGAGGAGGGTGGCCAAGAAGAAGACGAATGGGGGATCAGCGATCGGAGGAGAAGCGGGGGGTGAAAGGGTGGAAAGAAATGGGCTTGGAGGGAAGAGGAAGCCTGGCAGCGTTGGAGACCGGAGGGGTAGGTGGTCCGCATGACGTGAAAGAAGGGGGGTGTGAGCGAAAGGTATAGATGGACGCGAGAATGGTTAGCATAATGTGTGCAAGACGCACATATCGAGTGCAGAGCATCGAGGGAGAGTCCCATTTGAAAGCAGCCGAGGAAAGATTGTTGCCCAATGGATTGTTGCTGTGGATTGTTCACCGAATTAGTAGTTCGGTGGTGTTGCTGCGGTGGTGTTCTTGTAAGAAGCGTCGTCGAGAAATCATTGCTACTTTGTGAATCGGGATCGGAACCAACGCCGTTGCTAGGGGATCGCAGCAGCTTCCCTGATGTGAAACGTAGATATCCTGCAAGGGCATTTTCCGCTCTGTACAGTACTACCATTTACAGCGCTTTTCTTGAAAAATTCAGTTTAAAGGCCTGGGAGATACGCACTGCTGGAAGTCAAGAGAAGAAACATTTGTGATGGACTGCGAGTTAGGAACGGCTCTCATCTGTTTGCTACGATTCTGGCGCACTGCCAGCCTTCGGATCCTCTCTTGGTGTGGAACGACCACCTGGACATGTTTCTCACCGATATTCGCAATCGTGCACGCGGACAACCCATTCGAAGGCAGCAGCTTCGCGATGATCACCACGCCACATCTTACGTGCTTCGAGAGGTACAGGAGGCCCTGTAGACCGTGCGTTCCGGCTGGACGCTTGCAAACTACAGACTCCCACTACCCGATGACAGCCTGCTCGCTTTGGAACAGCAAAACGAGACCGAGACCCCCGAAGCACGAGCGCAGCAGTGGGAAGAGCGACTACAGACGTCGTTGCCGCTGTTGAACACAAATCAACGCCATTCCTTTGACGAAATAGTGGGCGCCATGCTTCCAGGCGTATCCGTCTCTGTATTGCTTCAAGGATCCTCAAGCGCCGTTGCGGGACCTTCTGTGCCGACACTAAGTGGTCCTCTCTTCTTCTTCGATGCTCCTGGCGGAACAGGCAACACATTCGTGCTCAGCGCCATTCAGGACTTCCTTCGTACGCCCCGTAAGTAAGTCATCGCTGTCGCTACGTCTGCTGTTGCTGCTGTGTTGCTCGACGGTGGACGCACGGCTCATTCCGTGTTCAAGATTCCCATTCCTGTATCTGCCGAAAGCACGTGCAGCTTCTCCGCAAACTCCGACACTGGCCGTACACTGCAACAAGTCGATCTTATCATATGGGACGAGATCGTCATGTGCCATCGACATTGCATTGAGACTGTCGCTCCCTTCGCCACTTGATGCAAATCGACCGGGCCCTTCGGAGGAAAGTTCCTCGTGCTCGCTGGAGACTTTAGACAAATCCTTCCCGTCGTTCCGGGCGGGTACAGAGGTCAAATCGTGAGCGCGTGCGTCAAGGCTTCCCGGCTGTATCGAGAGTGCCGATTCCTGCGCCTTACCGAGAACATGCGACTTGCTGCTTTCCGAGCGGACCGTGCAGCGGATGTGGAGGCTCTCAACTTTCCAGAGTTCCTCCTCAGCGTCGGGGAAGGCAGACTTCAAGGCGAACAGCGCCCGGAATGGATCTCACTACCACAGTCCGTTGCGTTCGAGCACACCATCCGCAATTTATGCGTCAAGGTCTTCTCAGGGATTCGAGACAATCACGCCGACCCTGCCTGGCTCACCAAGCGCGTTATACTCACCACAAAGAACAAGCCGCTCGAGGAAGTCAACGAGGTCATCTGCAACATGATTCCGGGACCGTATCGAACGTATTTAAGCGCAGACAAGGTCGAGAACGAAGACACCAACGCGCTGATCTATCCCACAGAAATGCTCAAGACCTTGACCGCCGGGTCTGCTCTACCAGACCACAAGCTCAAGCTCAACAAAGGCTTCATCTTCATGCTTCTGCGCAATCTCGATCCCGCTACCGGTCACGTCAACGGCGCGCGATATCTCATCGAGAACATGACCAACAACCTGCTCTTTCTACGCGTTACCACCGGGTCACACCAAGGCAACAGACTATGTCTCCCTCGAATGCCCTGCGGACCAGGAGACGACAACTTCTCATCCCTGGCTTCACCCGAACGCAGTTCCCCATTCGCACGTGCTTCGCCCTTACAACGAACAAAGCGCAAGGCCAATCCTTCGGTGGCCGCATAGGTCTCGACTTACGAGATCACTGCTTCTCGCACGGTCAACTCTACGTCGCACTATCAAGGAATACTCACCCAGGCAACGTCACTGTCCTCACTCGAGAGTCCAATGAAACAACGCGAAACGTAGTGTACCCCGAGGTCCTTCAGTAGTTGTCAAAAAAGTAAAGGCCATTGTCTTTACATCTTTTCAATGTCTTTACGTCTTTTCATTGCCACCCTTCCCAAATAGTTTTCCTCCACCCTGACTTGGCTCGGCGCGCGAAGCGCGCACGGAGCCCACTTGTCCACGCATACTAATTTGCGTGTCTGTCTGTCTGTTTGTGTCTGTGTGTCTGTGCGCTCCTACGTGTGTAGCCATGGGTGCACGGCTGCGTTACTGCGACAAGTGGCGGCCACGGGCGGGGTCTGGGCGCAGGCCAGGCCCGCCACGGGGACACAAGGCGGCTACAGGCGCGATTATGGCAATACAGTACAATTAGAAATTAAATATAACACCACAGTGCGGTAAAAATAAAAATTTAGCCCCGATCCGCTTCGCCTTCGCTACCGATCCCCACGCAAACCGTCTACGCGATGTCAGTAATATAATAACTGTCCTCATTGCTCCTGCCGGCTTGCCGCTCGCGTCATTTGAGTCCACGCGAACGCTTACTGACTATAGACGGTGTGTGTCGATTTCTGCGAAGTGTCTACCAAGGAAGAACGAGAAGAATTGCGCAAGGCGCGCCGCGCTGCGACATCCATCCGCCTCAGTTTTTCAGAGTCCCCGCCAGCGGCTACACTTGTCAACGTAGCTTACCCAGCCCCGCCCGGCGCGCCCGCCCCACGTGTCCGCATCCCTCAGATTGCCCCACGCCCGCCCCACGTGTAGCGCCAGCCGCGCTGCCACGTGTGCCACGTCTCCATCGCGCCCTTGCGCCAGCACCCGCACCACGTGTACCCCGAGCCCCCGCTACACGTGGCACACGTCTACCTCCGCGTGTCATTCCTACCTTTCTTGGGCTACGTGTGATCGAGCGGCCACGTGCGCGCGCGTTGCCAGCTGTCACTACTGTCTTGCGCAGTGTGCCCGTGTACAAGTGTGACACCTGCGATCTGCACGCGTGAGACGAGAATCAATCAAAGGAAAAATTAGTCATGTTGACAACGAACTGCGGAATGCTGGACACGAGTTGGAGATCAAAGCCAACGGTGCGTCGAAATTATAATCAAAATTGAGACAACAATTGCTGAAGCCGTGGTCCGCACGCGAAGTGGTCGCCACACACAACAGTCGGAGACGAAAAATACTCTAAGTCACCTAGCCGCCGAACCTCCTCCGATCGAACATAACCAAGGGAAAACAAGAGGAAAACGGGAGTGCGATCGTAGTGACGGTGGTACACAGAAATAGGAAAAGAGGAGGAAGGATGTACCTAGGAAAAGAGGAGCAAAATTGACAAGGATAAAGAAAAGGAAATTTTTGAATGAAGAGGAGGAAAGAAGCGCACCGTGAAGGAAAATGTCAAAGAAGTGAACCACGACTAGAGGCAAGTCGAGGGAGACTTCTACAGTGCTGTCGTAGCACGGATCAGATGACGAGGGAGCCAGGGGCTCTTCTCTTGAGGAGGAGCCGCGGGCTCCGACAGAGCATGACGACGGATGTGGCAAAAAGAATAAAGAGGAGGAAGTTGAAGCTAACAGGGGATACGCAGGTGGCATCTTTTTATCGTCTAGAGGTCGTAGGATTATTTCGCTAGTCGACTATCACGCGGAAAGGATGGGAAAAAGGAGGATGAGTCGCAAGGGAGTGGTGCGTCCGATGTCTCAACGAGACGGTGCCCCAAGGGATTTTCCCTTCGGAAGGGATGTGACAAGTTGAGCTAGAACTCGCAATTCATCCAGAGACGCACCCTGGAGAGCCTCTCCATCCACATCATAAGCCATGAGCAGTCGATGGTAGACGGCAGCAGCAGTGGTATTTTGTTTTGGAATTGAGGACGTTGGAGGGACCACTGGGGCAGCGAGGAGCGGACCCTCAGGAGAAGGGAAAGCCGGACGTGGGGTCGGATCCCCGTCCAAAGGTGGCGCTTCACGAATTGGTAAGGTTTCTGTCGAGCTCGTTGGAGGAAGCTTGACGCGTGAGGGAGCCTTTGAGCGTATCGCGCCCACACTGGACGTACACGACGGCGAGGGAACGGGCTGAGATTGGAGGTGAATTGATGGGACAGTAGGCATGGAGGACCCTGCAGGAGGAGGCGTTGGAGACTGCGCATGAGGGACGGAAGCTTGAATGGGGAGACGAGGAGATGATGGGACTGAGGGGCGAGAGCAAACGCTCTCTGCACGAGGATCGGGAAGTGAGTCGGGAACGGCAATTTGCATTCTATGCTGCCGACTCAACTGAGCTTCGGAGGCAAAGCAAAACAATGACGTCTAAGCGTTGAACCAGACGAAGTCACCCGCCGAACTGTGACTTCCTCCTGGGGAGAACGATGGACGGCGCTTCGTAAGAGAGCGTGACGAAATGAAGGCGGGAACATTATCCCACTCGACCTGTGCAATTTTGTCAAGCAGTGGGTGTAACTCAATGTCGGAATCGACCCCAACTAGAGGGATTGAATAATCCAGCGAACGCATGAGCTCAACGAGCTTCGGGGACAGAAACCACAACCGCCAATAATCATACGCTTCCCACAGTAAGTCGGCGGCGACTTTTACACACCACTTTCTCAGAAACACAACTGTAGTGCAATAATGGGCTCTACATGGGGGTGGAACGAAAGGAAAGTAATTGGATATGACAAGTAGTCAGGGTTGGGGGTCACACGTGTGAATAATTGCACAGTTTTAATTTTTAATTATTTTATTTTATTTAGTTAATTAGTTGGGATTAATTTTGCTGACATTAGATTAGATCTAGAATCTAGCGCCGCGAGCTACTGTAGTGGCTCCGGCTGGGCAATATATACCTTAGCCCGCTGACCACCAAGTCAGTAAAGGTAACTCGAGTTGCCGGAGTTAGATCTCGCCTTCGTCGAAGACCGCTTCCGTTCACGCAACGCGCTTCACTTCTACGCTGCTAACGACATTCTCTATTGCTCCGGTCCCGTTTCCTTATCCTTTTACCCTTTTCTATCTTTAATTCCTATCCTTTTGTTTCTCCACCTCTATTTTTCCCTTAATTGTGTTGGTTCCATTGGAGTCGGTCGCGACCGATCTGGTATTGGTGTGATTGCCATCGGGCTGTGCGTAGGTCGTAGCGCTGCTACAGTGTACTGTTCGTCGGAAGGCTGTTGCAACGACGCCTCCTTCCAAGGTCTTATCATACAAGACAGTGTTGGTACCACCAACCGTGATTCCGATCGCATTGGTGTCCGTGTTTTGCCATCGGGCAACACGTTGGTCGTATCGTTGCTACATAGTTACTTTCCCGTTTTGTAGTGCTAGTCGAGCCCCCGTCGAAGACCTTGAATTATACGCAAGGTGCTGAAGACGCTCGTCGAGCATTGGCCTTACAACCCAGCAAACCGCGGTTACATTCTCGTACACAAGCCCAACCCGCACTCGCCGAGCACTCAAGTCTTCACAAACCTGTACCACCATTATCCTCCCGGGCCCGGAATCTTTCCTTAACGCTCCCGTCGGAGTGGAGCTACCGTGCGCCGCAAGCTCACACAAGGGGAAAGGGAGTCTCGAACGCTCCGTAGCGCGTGCCATCGGCAGTGGTTGTTTCTGTTGCTGTTTTTCTTCTTTTTGTTTGACCGTCGGACTGTATTCGCGGCCTGCCAGGCACATTGCACTACAACAACCCATAGGCCGTGACAGGGATCACTTAAATGGCTCCCGAAGTAGGTGAGAATTGGTCCCAATTCCGACTAGAAGCCTGGGCACACCTCGAAATTTCCCTACCAAGAGGAGAGTCACTCCCCTCTTGGTGGAGAACAGTGACTGTCGCTGATAGCGATTCGCATAGTGCGACCGAGCGATCTCCCCCGCCTCAAGCATTTGGTACGCGAAAAAATTACCCGTTTCCGCTCTCATCCTGCGCTCGACACGAACCGTATATTGGAAGAATGGAATGCTGCTGCGTTTCATACGTCTGAAGTTAGGGGGAAGGATCGCGCTCGTCCACGACATAGCATCGTTTGTGGCCGTCAGCTGGTTTCGCCACAGGCGATCCGCTTCCAACACGGGGTCACCCCGGGTCCAACTAAGCAGACTGTCGAGGTATTCGAATACCGCCCGATCGGGCTCTCCTTCCGTACGAAATATCCACCTGTCGCAGCCAAAAGAGAAGGGAATCAAGGCGACGGTAAGAGGAATGTCAAGGCGGCCGAGGACTGTTTCCATGAAACGTAGGGACAGGCTGTCGCGTCGGAGAGGGGACGAACCACGCAGAATAGAAGGAGGGGCAGCGATACGAGCTCGCCAATCGTAGGAAGGTGACTGGGCAATATGCCGTCGGCGTCGGCGAACTTATTTGCGACGCAGACGGCGTCACGAACGCCGAGATCACAGAACCAGGGAGCGCCAGCGAACAAGAGGGGGAGCTGACGCATGGACTTATTGTGAAGCTCCGCGAGCGAGGGATACCGCCGAGAAGAAGGAGAAGTTTGGGGGATAACAGGGGATATCGGATTGGGGACAGTAGTCTCAGGGGGACGTCGGGGAACAGAGAGAAGACAGCGGGAGGCCCGAGGTTGGGACGAGAGGCCTACACCGAGACGCTTGCGGATAACATTCTCACGGGGTGAGAAGTTCTCACCGGGTGAGAATGTTATATATATGTATATTCGCGTGGGTCCCGCGCGTCCCGGCCGGACTGGATGTGTTTGGTTCGTCTTGTCCTTGCCCATGCGGAAATCGTTGGTTATTGGGAAAGCCGAAGAAGTAAAAGGGGAATAGAAGCTGGAAATGAAGGAGCGAGCCCGCTGTGCGAGGATGCTCAGAGGTGGTTTATGTAGTGCAATGGCACTGCCCAGGTAAAGGAGATCGGAGGGTACTGTAGTCCGGGCTGGGGAGCACAAGTGAAAATCATTTCACACCGTTATTTATTGTTTAATTTTAATTAATTTTAATTAGATACCAATTAATTATTTAGTATTAGATTAGATTTAGGATGTAGCGCCGAGAGCTACTGTAGCGGCTCCGGCCGGACGATATATACC